CAAACCTGGAGCAACCTCAGGTGATTCCATCCCAAGGAGATCTCCTGGGTGACCTCTTGAACCTTGATCTGGGGCCTCCAGTAAATGTGCCTCAAGTGTCTTCCATGCAGATGGGTGCTGTGGATCTTCTAGGAGGTGGACTTGATAGCCTGGTGAGTAAGCATTACTTTTGTGGACATGGGCTAAAATTCTTAGTGTGATGTACATGAATTGCTTAGCTCTGTGGTGTCAAAAATCAAGGCTGCTGGCAGACTTCTTTTCCTTTATACTAAGCAAGAGCTGGGTAGCTACCACTTGGAGGAGGCAGAGATGTTTGGCTTCTTTCTGCTCCTTTTCAGCCTTGCACACTGCAAGTTATCAAATTACTGCCTCATTTACTTGCTTATTTGGGGTATTGCTGGCAATCACAGATAGGATAAGACAAAATTAAGCAACACTGTGGAAAATGTTGGTAGTGCGTTGTTAAGAGGTTTGTGCCCTGATCCCTGTAAACAGGCAGAAACATGGAGCATGGCTGTGTCATGTTTGTGTTTGTTTGCTAGATGTTAGCAGAGAAAGGAGAAGGAAAAAAATGCTTCTGATTTTTAGCATTAGGTACATGTTTGCTACTTGCTTAGCACCACCCTAGGGTCTTGTGGTTAATTGTGTCAGTTCCTTATTATAAAGGATTATAACAGAGGCTGTCATTTTGCATGACAGCAGAGAAGAGCAAGCATGGGATCATCCTTATTCCATAAGAACAATGCTAGGGCACAATATATACACATTATGCTGAACCATAACATGGCTTGTTTATTGTGCTTTAGCTCATGGGTGAACCAGTTCTAAGGAGGAAACTATAGTTTACGAACCAAAATTGAAAGATTAACCCATAATGTTAAGCTTGGAACAAATACCTCACACCCCTACCATGAGAGCCATTGCTTCACTACAGGTAGTCCTCGCTATCCAACCACAATTGGGACCTGAACTTCAGTCGCTAAGTGATATGATTGTTAGGTGAAACATCACGCGACCACGTTGCTTAGCCACCGCAATCCCGGTAGTCCCGGTTGTTGTCATTAAGTGAATGCCCCGGTTGTTAGACAAGGCAACTTCCTGCTGGCTTCCCACAATCAAGTCAGTGGGGAAGCCAGCAGGAAGTTGCAAACCCAAGGGTTGCCAGGTGGGAGAGGGAGTGAGGGGGTGCATGGGGGTGCATGGAAGGGTCAGCTCGGGTGTGTGGGGGTGTGGTGCAGGTTGGGTGCCCCCACACACCCCCACGCACTCCGTTGCTCCCTCCCCCACCTGCTTCCTCCCCCATCCTTCATGGCTGAAAATCCTGCTTGGATTTTCAGCACAAAGGTTTTTCAGGCAGCCCCCAAAGCCCGTGCAAAGCCCATCTCCGAGGGCTGCCTGATTTGGCATGGGGCATTTTCTGGCAGCCCTAAAAACCTTTCGTGCTGAAATCCTGCTTGGATTTCATCACAGAGCTTTTTCAGGCAGCCCTTAGAGATGAGGGGAAGTTCTCTCGGCAAGTAGCAGTGGCCTGCAAACGTTGCTGCCAGCTACTTTCCTAGCAGGCAACAGTGACGATTGCAAATGGTGATCACATGACAACCGGTTGTAAGGGCGAATTGATTGCGAGGGCCCAGATCACCATAACTCCAGGTCAGGTCGTAAGTCCCTTCGTTCAGCGCTGTCATAACTTCAAACAGTAGCTGAATGAATGGTCAGATAGTGAGGACTACCTGTACAGGAAATCTTGTAACATTACCCAGCCATGCTTGTAGCAATATATAGTCTGTCCCTGTTACTGGTATATTGGACAGTGATGGTTGGATGACATTAGAAATCATAACTGTGGAGACAGACTCTGGCTGTGACATGTAAATTAAATTATTGTAATGTATGACCCTACATTAGATTTTGCATGTGGATACATTGGTACCTTCTGTAAAATGCTTTGAGAATATCTCAGTTTTATAAAGCAGTAACTATAGTAAGTAAATTGAGTTACCATGTTCTCTTTAGAAAGCAACAATTCATCAGTCTAGGGAATATCTGTGGTAGGTAGGTAGGTAGGTAGGTAGGTAGGAAGGAAGGAAGGAAGGAAGGAAGGAAGGAAGGAATCAGTCAGTCAGTCAGTCAATCAATCAATCAATCAATCTGGTTCTCTTTTTCTGGATTTATTTTACCATTATTTTATGTAAAATCTTTTATCAGTTCAACTAGTGGTATTATCAGAGCAACTTATAGCTATTAGAATGTTTTTAAAAATGACTTTGAGATTATTCCCGCCTTCTAATTCTACAGAAAGAAGTTTCCTTTTCAAAATGGCTTTCATTCACAGGGCAAGGATGTTTTTTTCTAAAGTAGGATGCTCTCCCCTCCCCTTTCCTGTCTCCTTCCTTTTGGGATATTGGAAATGGTTGTGACTAGAGATAGTGATATTGGTAGGTTGCATGTGTGTGACAGGTGAGTGTCTGCATAGTTTCTTCGGTTTGCCCCCATGACATATTCAGTCCAGAGATGTTGGGTCACTGGAAAGAGATGAAGATGCATTCAGGGTAATTCAAGGTAACACCCTGAATCTTCAGGGCAATATAATAATAAAATTAATGGCTTAATACATGGAAGATTCTTTAAGTATGGAGAAACCTACTGTTCCACCAGTTGGCTGTGTCCTGGACACAAACAGGTGATTGGTACTTCTCAGTATTGGACACAGAACATAATGACCTGCAATTCCCAACCCTCCTCCCCATTGCAGAAAATGGTAATCAGCCCTCTCCCACCACCACTAGGCAACCTGATGGTTGTCTGTGTATTTTCAAACTTTTTTTTTTTGTAACCTTGAGACCTAGGAATTTGGGTGTATGTTAAGTAAAATATGAGCTTTCCAAGAAGTTGATATTCATTACCTAGTTTTATGATCTGGACCTCCCTGCATAGGTGTAACAGTTCACAACGATGCTTGGATCCCCAAATTTAGCAAGCAGGCTTCAGTCTCATGTCCATTGTGTATGTGTGGTATTGCTTGTGTGCTATCCAGATGCTGTCTCATATTCTGCAGCAAGGCATTTCTGGGTAACCCTTAGCTCTCCAATAAAATCTGGCTGCTTCTCAATCAGCTTCCAACTGCATGAGGCCTCCATGCTCCTAAGATTGTTAAGACTTTGAACAACACAGCCTTGGCAGTGTCTGCGGTTCAGCGCCTCTCGGCTTCTCAATGCCAGGACTTAGATGCTCCATATCTCTCATGTAATATTGCAAGATGTTGGCAGCGCCACAGCAAAGATTGGCTCCCTTTTATATGGGTTTTCAGTGGAAACCAGATCCATAAGGTTTCAGCAGATTCCTGGAATTAAGCCTCATAACATGAAGAAGAATCTGTTCTCATCAGAATGAACTCTCAGGGTAGCTGGTCCTCAACCTCAGCCCTTCTGTAGTGGCAGCAGAGCCAATAAATGCCAATCTAAAGAGCACAGGAAGGGGGATGCTAGGGAGAGTTTGCAGCTTTGTATTTGCCAAGGTATCTGCAATCTTCCTGGTGTCATATCTGGAAGCTGCCGTCACATCCACTGTGAGAATTTTTGAGACTTACATTCTTTCATGGCTGACAAAAGCTAAATTTGCATGCAGTCTCTAATGCTTCAGACAACAGATGTAATGCTGTTCTATATATCGCCTTCTAGATCACTGCATGTTGGGGCAAACATTTCTATTCCAGCCTGAATTCTTGATGTGCTAGCTTTCATATGTAGGGTTATAATTGGTTTTGTTCAGGGTGAACATTCAGTCATACAGGCTTCTACTTGCAGTTTGAAGTGGATAAAGTTCCAATCAAAACTGGCCAGTGCGTCTGGCTTTTGTGAGAAAGAGGTTTTGGAGTGTCTCAGTAACTGGAAGTAGCTTAAGGGCAGTTTAAGCTAAAAGGAATCTGAAAACTCTACAAAAGAAGGAGCTTAGTCTTACAGTCAAAAGTAGAATCTGCAGCCTGCTAGATGTGATAGATTCATAGCTCCTAGTAGACTCAGCCAGCACGGCTAATGGAGTCGTAGTTGTGGTTCAGCACCCTCCTGGAAACCTATGTATTTCATCACTTTAGATTTATCCAACTAGCCACCTATGTACCATTTTGTTCACAATCCAGTTCGCTCTGATAGTTGTGAAGTGGAGCAAAGCTCCCTGCTTTGCTCATAAAAGATTCAGCCTTGTCTCTGAAATCCACCAATCATTGTCCTCACCCAAAGAACAATACAAATAAAAGGACCAGAAATCTTGGATTGGACAGAACTTTAATCTTCCAATATATTTTGCAAACTTCAAATAAATCTACTTCTTATAACCTTTCTCTCTGTTTCAGGCTTGTTTTCTGTGTTTACCTTATTTGGGTATCAAAGCTTTAGGTATCCTCAATTTAATTTAGTTCTGGGCATTCCAAACTGCAAGGAGGGGAAAGTCATTTGTGTCATTTAGGACAATATTGTGGTTCTGTGGGGATGCGCTGCTGAAAATAATATTAGTTAGAGATGTCAAAATGTCAGTTTTTGTTTGAAACAGCTGCAGTGATCTGTTTGGAAAGCTGCAGGTAAAATCTTGATGCCAAAAAGAAAATATCAGCACCTTGTCTCTTCTCCTTGCCTAGTAAAATAGAAATAAATCCTGTGAAATAATTACAACTTAAAACCAGGAATTGGAATCCAAAGGGCTGAGGATGAGTTGGATGTGGAGGGTGGGAGGGAAGATTGCCTCCCTTTCTGTTCAGCTAAAGCAGTAGGGGCAGCCCCAGTAAAGCATTTCTGGCCCCCAGCCTGAGCATTTAAGCAGTTGGGTATTTTTTTTTAATTTTGCCTTTTGGAATTAAGCAGGAGGCCATTTCTGCTCTTATCTCCTCCACCCCCAACTGCCTCAAATCATCATTTGGGGAGCTGATTTCAGCCTGGCTTTTTAATTTTTTTCTGGGTTTTTATTTATTTATTTATTTTTTGTGCTGAGGGAGCTTTAAGGATGGAATTGGGACTGGAAGACTTTGAGGATTCAAAGAACTCCCATTCCCAGTCTTAGAACTCTTGAAATTGGACCTAAAATGGTGATCTCGTGCCATTTTTCAGGGTTTTTTTGAGGATCAGCTGCCATTCTCACCCTGTGGTCCCACAAAACATACATAAAGGACTGAAAAACTCAACCCATCCTCTTCTGATGATGTTGCCACATCACTGGATGATGTCCTGTCACCTTCTGAAGACTGGAGCTTTATTTAAAGCCTGATCCCCACACATTGGCCATCCATGAGCTATAGAAACCTCCAAGGGATCAAGCACCTTTTAATCAGTGAAGGCACATGATTGGGAACCACCATTAAGTTGCCATGCACAACTCTAGTATTTTATGAAGATTGCAGGGCAACAATATTATGCGCTGTTAGCTAAGTTTAAGCATTAGCTGAGTTTAAGCATTAACATAAAGCACTTAGCTAAGGCTAAGAAAAAGGTTCTTTTGGGAGTCAAGGCTGGATTGGGATGGTGAACAACCATATTCTAATCCAGACTTCAAGTATCACAAGGTCCCTGAGGTTAGTGGGAGCCAAACATGTGGTGCCGCTGTATTGATCAGATGAAGAACTTTAGTGAATTCTAAGTTTCATGTAGATGGGATCAAGAAAGAAGTGTATGAGAAGAGAGGTTATCAGTCTAGTCAGACCAGAAGCATAATCTAAGCAATGCAGGAGCCAAGTTCTTAAGCCACAGTGGAGGGTCAGGAGCCTGTGAGGCCCTAAGAAATGTAGGAATTAATGCTGTTAGTCCTCACCAAGGAGACAAGTTGTAAGAAGCAGATTTGGAAGCCAAAACTTTATGATGAACTAGGATTGGCCGCTGAGGCCAGCAGACTAGGTATTAGGACAGATGAATCATGTAGCCAGATAGCATCCTCAGCTGGGGGATTTAGTTTGGTTCTCGCACACCCAAAAGTCTTCTTGCTACCTGCCTCCCATTGTAGGTGCTCATATTGCCCACTCTTTATTTTGTTGTGGACCTAAAAAGTATTTTAAATCATAAAAACACACAAGCTTTTACTTGATTAAGCCCTGGTTTCTGATTGCAAAACTCCTGACTCCAGACTTGTGGTCCAGGCTTCAGACCACAAATTTGTCAACAAACTGGAGACACTGGATTTCTCTCCTCCCTGTTACATCAGGTTCTGCAAATCCTGGGGGAGCAGTGTGTGTTTGTATCTAAAAGAGAAGGGGCGAAGAAGTATAGGACTGAAAGAGCCAAGAAACCTTGATTTGTATCTTTCAAGGTTGGCTTCCCAGCCCATGGCTCTTTTAATGAGATAAACTTGGCAAAGGAGCTGATGAAAGCAGATAAAAACATCTGGCTCTATTATGTAGAATTATTCACAAGTTGTTTTGATGCTGCTTTATGTAAGAAGCTCACTTGCCAGCTGATGGGGGACTGCTTCTCCCCCTTCCCACTTCACTGGGGAACATTCCCCAGAGTACCAGAACCTCTCTGCCTCTTGCCTTGTTCAGAATGAATCTGACAGGGATTTTCGCTTTCCTTACCTTTGCTATGCAATCCATGCTTTTTCCTGCCTATAACATAGCTGTAACTTGAAAGGGGATAATAACCACCCAAGATTAGTCCTGCAAAAGGAAGTCATAATGCATGCATATTCAGGCTGTTTTCCCACTCTAAAACTGTAGCGTTCAGATTGAAAGAGTGAGAGATCATCTGTTTTCCATCAAGCCATGACTATCGTCGCACAAGCTTGAGTGATATTGATGTAGATTGCTGTAATTTTTTTTATGGGGCCTAAGAGCAGAAATCTTTTTCTAAAACCGTGTCCTTTTCCTCCCCGTTGCAGCTTTTACATCAGGAGTCAACAGCCCTTTTCAGTTAGTGGGTACCCTTATGTAATTTTGCGTGGTGTTGTGGGTGCCAAAAGCTAAGCATAAAACAAAACATTTTTAATTAAAAAAAATCATTTAAAAAATTTAAGGTGACCCAAATTTTATTAGGTCTTGTAGAAAACACTTGTCTTGAAATATTTGCCAATGTTTTAACACACTAGTCAATTCACTTAAGAAGAAATTATTTCTTTAAAAAAAATTGCAGGTGGGCACAGTCTGCTGTTCTGCAGGTGCTATGGTATCCACAGATGCCACATTACCAATTCCTGCCTATGTCTGCGGCAAGTCCCGTTCAAAGAAAATACATTGTGTCAGCATGGCATATTAGAATGATCCTTATCTGCTCCTATTTCAAAGAACGGCCGATGCTCAATGAAAGTATATGCAGTCTTTTGACTCCCTACCTTTCCGTTTTGTAAAGTTACCCTCTCTGAAAAAGCAGCAGCAGAGCAGATTTTCTCAGCCGACTACACTAAATTGTCCCATTCCATTTTTCCACCTTTGACCTGTTTTCCATTTTGCAGCTTTAAGCACAAAGATCACCAATAGCTTATTAGAAGCTTTCTGCCACAGAGTCCAAAATAGATATTAAGGCTAGAAAACGGGTCTGTAAATAACACTAGCAAGAGAGCATCCCCACCCTGTGCACTAAATACAAATTTAATCAATCTTCAGGACTTTTAACAATCTTCTAAATCAGTGTTTCTCAACCTCGGCAACTTTAAGATGTGTGGACTTCAACTCCAGAATTCCCCAGCCAGAGGTTGAGAAACACTGTTCTGAAATCATAGCTAGGGTTTCATCATATTCATGCTAAAACCAAGAGTCTATTTTTAATTGGAGAAAATACTCCCAATGTTGCGTGAAGAATAATGTAATGAATGGAGCTGATAAGCAAATCACCATTTGTTTATTTAAAAGCAGAGCAGAAGCTAGTTAGTAAAACGTGAAAATCTTGCCTCCTTGGTTTTGTCATAAGGATTACCAACTCAAAATTGAACAATCTGATGTACTGTCATCTTTTTTTCTGTTTAGCATCAGACAGGTGCATTTTGAGTTGTGAGATTGCTTTTCACATCACAGCAGACCTCATTTCTACTTGGTTATTTCCTTTGGAGGGAAAAGGTGTTAATGCTTTACTCTTTGGAGAAAAAAATATAAAAATGTATTAATGTATGTGTGTACATGTATCTTTCCGCAAGCATCTATGAGTGAAGCTAAATACATTTTCCACATTTGAGTGCTTGGATTTGCTCTGTTGGGTAATTGTTCAGAGAGCTACCAGAAATAGAAAACCACATGATATTCATTCAAGCAACCCCCCCCCCCCACAC